GGGGGGGAGGAAGCATGCACTGAATTTTAAACCTTGTCATTAGTCCTGATTTGGAAGGAAGACGGATACTGTTATCTGTAGGGCTATTTGGGCACTGCAGAAAAAGTAGTCTTTAGTCAAAGAACTTAAGTTGATTGCTTGAAAACTTACAAGACTGGGTGTTATTTAGTAATGGTATATATCTTTGATTTTAGCAAACTTGTGATTGGTTACACTTTAATGTGTAGTTATGGCTTATTTTTGTTTGTTTCAGGGAAGTCACATTTTAGATGCTGTATAAAACTTGGATTTTTCAGACAGTACTGAGTGTGGTCTTAGGTAATGGGACACCTGAAAACAATTTTTTCCTTTTTTTTTTTTCCTTTAAAGTATCGGACAGATACTCTGCTCTTTAATACTTTAATAAGAGGCCTCAAATCTGACTTGCATTTCCAGGTACATTTTAATTATCAGTTAAGATGGATATCCGAGGTGCTGTAGATGCTGCTGTCCCAACAAACATCATTGCTGCCAAAGCTGCTGAAGTTCGGGCAAACAAAGTAAACTGGCAGTCATACCTCCAGTAAGTAAAAGCTTCCCATGATTTTTTTTTTCTGTTCTTTCTTTTTGGGATATTGGGTTACATTGCAACATTACGTTACAGTGAGGAACGTTCTGTCTTGGTCCCATGAAAATGGTTGGAAAAAGACTGCATTAAATGGAAATGGTTGGGGAAAATTTTCGTATGACTTATTACAAGAAAGGGAACTCTACTTCTGTGAACTGAATGCTATAATAACAAATGATATAAGTTTGCACAAATGTGTGTTAAAACTGTCCATTTTTTTTTCTCCTTATAATTCAAATACCATTCTCAATTTTATCCTTGTTGGGCAAGTACTGATACAAGAAAAGTTTACAGTAAGAATTGTCTTATAAGTAGGTATGTTACCTCTATTGTGGAAGTGCCTATGTGTGAATACAAACTGCACTAGCAGCGCTGGATTGGTAGTCCAGGAAAATAAGCTGTACCTCAACTACAGGAAGAATAGTGCTGGAGAGCAATTGAAATGAGTCAGTTGGGGAGTAGGCTGAAAAAAATACTTCAGTGTGGGGAGAGCTGTGCTGCCACTTCAGATAAGCTCAGAGTTTACTTTGGAAGGTATATAATGGCACAGGGAGTAGCATAGAGGGACAAGCTGAGGAAAATAGGTTTGTGCAGGAGGTAGGGAACGGGGAGAAGAAACAGACTTCTACTAGTCCTCGGTACTCTGAAGTGAAATGCAGATTTCTTGCATCCCTGCATTCCTCGTGACAGGTACCTATGAAGAATATTGGCAAAGCGTAAATTAGTATTATCTCTTGAGGGCCTTTGTATAATAGCAAATTATTTCAGTGTTTGTTGCTTTGTAACTGAAGTAGCAGAAATCTTAACGATTCTAGAGGTACAAGCTGTGCTGATGATGCTTTGTGATTACCAACACTACGCCACTTTGCAGAAGATCTTTTATTTTTTTTTCAGATAGCTGTGATACATAAATAAATGCTATATATTAAAATAAGGTTACCAAACTGTACACATGCAAGCTGAGAAATGCCAACGTGGTAGAATCTCATTAATGACTACCTGCTTTGCCCTGTGCTATGTAGCCTATTCCATTAATTCTGTTGTGTTAGTTTTTTCTCTTTGTGACTGTATATCTACATGGTAAACTGGATTAAGGAACTGATCTACTCGGGAAGCTTCCTTTTCCTAGGCTGTTCTTTCAGATGTATCAGTTCCTTGTTCAGTTTGCAGCGTGAGATTACAGTGGCTTTGCAGGCAAAAGAGTGAGGTTGATGTGGTAACTTGACTGTGGCAGCTACCAAGTATTTGTCAAACAATCTAAATGGCATTTGCTGTCACTGTGTGCCCTGTTATCCATCTGATGGGAAGTGTGTCCTGGGGAAGCCTGGGCAGCTGTTCCTGTGCTGTCCCAGTGGCAAGTGAACAGCTAGTTCGCAGTTATTTGGGATGAATATGGGAGTGCAATTGTTCACTGTCAGTCTAAGGGAATACAGGATAGTCTTTTTCACTGTGTCTCTAGTGGTTCAGACTATAAGGCCAGTGAGATCCTGTTGCTTTTCTTAATATAGGGGATGGTTCTGTTTGGCAAGGACTTGTACTTTGGATACATATGTAGTATTAATAGCTTGACTGTGCTTTATGTGGTCTACCATTTACAATTTGCCTTTGTTCTTGGGGTTGTCTATTTCAGGTGCTTAATAAGGATGGCAGAGTTCTGTTTATTTATCTGTCAGCAAATTTCTGTGCATTTCTTTTGACCAGAAGGCAGGGTTGATGGTTCTTTTTCAGATTCTAGATGTAGAATTTGACTTTGTTTTGTTCTGGAACCCATGAAAGAAGAATGTAGTAGTTATTTCCTCTCTTCGATGAGTTAGCGAGGTTTTGGAGGCTACCATAGTGCATCTGGCTAGTGTTTGTGATCCTGTTGTGAGACTGTTCGATGCCTGGTGCCCTCTGTCTGACAAAGACAGTGTGTCCTATTAATTATTGCTCTGAAATAAATGTAATCTTTGTGTCTTGTATTTACTGATAACAGCCTGGCTGTCTGGCTAAGGTAGCTTCAAGGATGAACTTCAGTGGTGCCAGAGGGACTGTGGAGCATGGTGAAGATAACTGTAGTTCCTTGGCTGAGGAGTTTGCTTATCTTTAGTTATTGGAAAATATGAGCAGTACTTCTTAGTGCTTCTAAAGAGGAACACTGATTTTGGACATGTCCTTTTTACAACAGGCAGGTTTGGATGTGATGGTGTCTTTGAGGATTTGTTGAAAAATCACTTAGTGCGTCTATATTGACTAATTTCTGAAACGAAGAGCATTATTAATGAGTGAAAACTGCTTGCTTCCGATGCACCTGTAAGAGGCAAGTCAGAGTGGTTTCTTCTGGTCTATAGAGTAGAAGGAATATGGGGTGCTGGTGATTTTGAAGGACACTTCTCTTACTTTCTTTTGAGCTCCTGCTGTGGCAGTCTGCATGTAGTGTGGTAAGCTTGCGTATAAATATATGGAGGTGTACTTCAAGTCTTCAGATGACTTTACATTAGATGAAAGACTTTTATGTTTGTTTTCCCTAAGTTAACACATCAACTCAGGCATGAGATAACTTGTGTTCCTTGAACTATAGATAGTACTTACATACTTGGAGTCAAAGAACCTCACAAGAAATTCTGATGAGGTGTGGTGCTTTTTGGATTTGTTTATTTTTAAAATCTGGCTGTGACAGTTTTATATATATAAAGATGCTTTAAAGATTGCATCAATCAGAACAGCATTGGAGTCTGGGTCACACAGGAGGCATTCTGAAATTCTTTTCTGCTCTCTCTGTTCTTCAGTGCAAAAGTAAAATGGCTTACTAATAGTCGGTCAGGCTCTAGTAGCCTGGCTTCTCTTGTAGAGTCAGTTCAAGCTAAAGATTAACTGGCATATTGTTTATTCCATCTCTGAAGGTTATAACTGTAAACTAAATGTCAAACTAAGCTAACCCACAGCTGCTGACTTTTGACATTATCTGTGGGGGTTTTTTTGCACAAAAGTGAAATATTTAGATCTCACAACTGTACATACTGCCAGTTTGCCACTGTGTTCACTGCTCATTTCAAAGTTAGGCTGTGGAAAAATTTTTTTTTTTTATGCTAAAACTCACACTTTCTTTGTGTTGAATTCCAGCTAGTATCCGTGTCTGAGGGAGAAGAAAGTAGCAAAACTTGGAACAATGGAACGTGATGTGTAGGTCTACCTACCTCCTGGAAACTAAATGTAGTTGAGGCCATTAGTTCTGTACCGACTTTCCTGCCTTTGGATCTTGAGACTTGAAGCTGTTTAGAAGTGTCAGTGCCTTCTGATAGTTGAAAATACGATGTGCCACTGTTGTGTACTGTGTGGTTGCTTTCAGCATTTGCCTCAGGGTGTCAGAATGCTGTTGGAGGGTGTGTTAGCTTGTCTGAAGCAAGTTCCAAAGCAAGGGTAGTAAATGAGTTCTGTGGAAAAGTGAACTTGTTTCAGAATTTAACTTGCATCTTGCTGCACTGTAGGTTTTCTAGGTATACAGTATGTGAGAATACTTAGTGTAGGTGAGATACCTGATGGCTAATTTATACTTGGCTTCCCATGTGTCTTCAAGTACTTTACATATGTGTTTGTGAATTCTGATGCTGAAGTATCTATTTTAGTTTCCTGGGGGTGGTCACCTTCTAAACCAGGTTAAATATCTTGGACTTCAAAAGAAAATCTTGTCTTAGAAGGATAGAAGTTTCCTAACTTGTAATGTGTATGTGGGTGTTTGGGTGTTTTTGTTTTGTTGGTTGAGGTTTTTTGTTAATTTTTTTGTTGTTTTTTAAATTTGGGCCAGTCTTGTAGAGTACATTTAGCCTCTTACTGTTTTAATTTTGTAATGTTAAAAGTGTTGAGCAGTTGGATCAAATGAATGTCTTTTAGGTACATGCAGATTACTGTAGATAACTGGGTAAAAGAAATTATGCCTTGACATGGTGGCTTCATATGAGCTTTGTGTTTGCTGCAGATGTAGTCAAAAGTTGTTTGTGGTTTGTTTTTTTTTTTTTTTTTAACACAACAATACACCCCAAAATAAAAAAAACAACCACAAACAAAACCCTGACCTCTAAAATGACTTTTGTTAAATCATTCAAACAAAAAAAGGAACAAGAGCTGCTGGAGGAAATGCGTAATAAAAAGAAAGAATCACAAGTTTCTGAATCATCTTAAGATGAGAGCAAAAGGTTTTAAAAATGGTGGTCTGACAAATTGTGTCTTTCTAAATCTTACATGGCTTCAGTTTACTCCCCTGTAGCTAGTGCTCTGGAAGGCAGACCTTAGTATCTCAACCACAGGGCTTTAAAATGTGGTTATAGTACTCCTGGTCTAAACCTGATATACCCAGACAGCTGGAGCTCAGTCAAAGTGACTTTTATCTGTTGGCAAAAGACTGTGTCATCCTGGAAAATAAGAAATTAATTGGGTGTTAGGAAGAGGGATGGAGGGAAGCTTTGGCTACTTGCATCCTTGCATAGTTTTCTTAAAGATGTTTGGAAATTCCTGTCTCTTTGAAAGGGGGATGAGGAAAATGTGGTAATAGCATCATGGTAGGTGGTACTGGCTGTCTGAGGCTGCTCTGCATTTTTTTTTTTCTATTTTTTTTCCACTGGTTGCTAAGGTTTACTAAATAATCAGTTATTTCAATTTTAAAATTAGATGAATTGAAATTAATGCATTTGAAATTATTAAAACTGTTAATATATTATTAGGGATCTTATACATCTGATTAACATCTTGTTTACAAAGCTATCGGATACCTTGAACTATTTTGTATGGGTTGGAAAAGTATGGTTTTGAATGGCACTTACACAGCAATAAAGAATAAACCCTGATTTCTTTTCCTCTCAAGGCAACATCAATCCCCACACCTTTTTTTCTTATTTTTTCTTTTTTTTTTTCCTGTAGCCTACCGTAGGATGAAAGCAAAAGCTTGAAAGCTTTTTTCCTTGACAGGTTGGCAGACCTATTCTAATAGCCTGACTATAGAGAAGCATCTGTCTTCCTGGGCTGAGGCTTTTGAAAGCATTAAAGCTAGAAGTTAAGGGTTCACTTTGTCGTCTTTGAAGTGCTTCCTAAATGGCTCTTATAAAGAAACAGCTCATCTGGTTACTTTATATCAGTATCATCCAGGACTTCCTGTCTTGGCCAGCATTGATTGAAACATGAGAGGCTTCTAGTTACAGGTCGTTAAGTGCAGTATTTGTGGTGAATGAGTTGTCCTCATCTTTCAACAACTACTCAAATTCATCCTTAGAAGGCAAGTAAGAACACAAGTCAATCTAAAAGGCATGTGGTAGCAGCATGGTCATTAATGGCTAATTACTTTTTTGTCTATAATTAGTTAAGTTTTAGTAGAAACTAGTTGAGGACTACCACTGGCTTTATGAATCTTACATCTAGTAAGTCTTAATTGCCTTTCCTCACTGCATATGAAGGTATTTCTTACAAACCAGCTAGAATACAGGAATGGTGTGTGTGGTACTGGACTACTTACATTCCTTGCTTAAAAAGTAAATAGGTAAAAGATGGCGCTCTGATGAGGCCATCCTCAAGACATAACTGTTTAAGTAAGAGGAAAGACAAGAACACATTGTAGGTCTTCGTGTTTCTGTGTTTCAAGAATCCAGGTGAGCCAATAAAAAAAAAGCAAACGCTTCCTATACATTTACAAGGATTTTAATGGAACTAGTCATGGAACATCAGAAACTGGCCTGAAATGTGGAAAAGATGAATTAAAAAGGAGTTAATAGAATATGTGCAACATAGCTTTGCACAGTGGAGGAGGCATTTGACTCAGTGGAAATGTAACAGATGAGTCTTGGAAATAACTGAAACAGAGCAATGTTTAATGTTCTCATCCCCTGTGACTTTTATATTGATGATGTGCACACTTTTCTTCTTTCTTGAAGCATTCCTCGTATTAACTAGTAAAGGTAGTCACCTATTAAAATCTTGGATATTTCCAGGACTACTTGATTTAAAATTAGTTTTCTTACCTGAAGACTACCTAACTGTACTGTTTTTGACAAGCTTGTTATTTGTTGTGATGGTAAGTTTTGTATTATAACAAAAACCCAGTGATATTTTGCCAGCTCTTCAGCTGAGTCAACAGCTTTCTGAAATAGCACTGATGACAGCAGTAACCCCTTGAATATTAAGTTAAAGCAAAGAGCAAGTAGAGATCTGTTACTTACAGGTGTCCACAGCAGTTTACTATATCAAGCCCCCTTGCTATGTGTTTGGATGAGCTTACATGCATATCAGTTTTTAAACTACCAGGAAAAGCTGAAATGTCATAATTAGTGAAAGTTAAAGATACATTAAGAACCAAGTTCTCTGTACACCTTAACATTTTTTTTCAGTGCTTACAGCAAACTTAAAATAACAACTCATTTTATTTTTCAGTGCTTATTTCAGGTTTGATTAGACTATTATTCATGTTCTGTATTATAATTTTGGCATAATGTGCTAGCTGTGCATATTTCAGTTCTTACAACTATTTCCACTGACCATTATGTCCAGCCTCTGGAAGTTTAAGAATTATTCAGAGAATGCTGTTGAGGAGAGGTGATGCATAAGGAAGGCTTTAGAGAGGTTGTTCTGTCATTAATTTTAAATTCTTTGTACATGAGACCTTTTGCAGAAAGGAGCTCTTTACATTCTGTCAAGGGATATAGGAATGATAAAGCGATACTGTTGAGATATCAAGTTGAAGAAAGTAAGGTTTGTTTGGTGGGTTGACCTTGGCTGGCTGCTAGGTGGCCACCAGGCTGCTCTGTTACTGCTCTTCCATCAAAAGGACAGAGGAGGAAATATGACAAAAAGTTCTTGGTTCGAGATAAGGACAGGGAAATTGCTCACCAACTACCATCATGGGCAAACCAGACTCTAATTGGGGCAATTAAATTAATTTATTGCCAATTAAACAGAGTAGGATAATGAGAAATAAGAACAAATCTAAAAAACACTTTCCCCCACCCCTCTCTTCTTCCCAGGCTCAACTTCACTCCTGACTTCTCTACCTCCTTGCCCTGAGTGGCGCAGGGGGACAGGGAATGGGGGGTGGGGTCAGTTCACAACGCCTCATTTCTGCTGCTCCTTCCTTCTCATGCTCTTCCCATGCTCCCAGCATGGGCTCCTGCCCACAGATTACAGTCCCTCGCGAATTGCACCAGGGTGGATCCTTTCACACAGGGTATACAATCCTTCAGGAACAGACTGCTCCAGTATAGGTACCCCCATGCGGTCACAGGTCCTGCAAGAAAAACCTGCTCCTGCATGGGCTCCTCTCCACAGGGTCACAGCTCCTGCCAGGAGCCTGCGCTAGTGTGGGCTTTCTGTGGACTGCAGTTTCCTTTAGGGCATACCTAAAGGATGCTCTGGTGTGGGGTCCTCCCCGGGCTGCAAGAGGAGATCTGCTCCATGATGGACCTCCATGGGCAGCGGGGGCACAGCCTGCCTCACTGTAGGCTTCACCAGGGGCTGCAGGGGAATCTCTGCTCCAGTGCCTGGAGCCCCTCCTGCTGCACTGGCCTGGGGGGCTGCAGGGCTGTTCCTCTCACATCTTCTCACTCCTCTTTCCCAGCTGCTGTTGTGCAGCAGTTTTTACCCCTTCTTAAACAGGTTATCACAGAGGTGCTACAGCTGTTGTTGAGTGACTCAGCTTTGGCCGGTGGCAGGTCCGTCCTGGAGCTGGCTGGAACTGGCTCTGTCCAATGTGGGGGCTGCTTCTGCTGTCTTCTCATAGAATCTGCTCCTGCAGCCCTCTTGCTACCCAAGTCTTTGCCATGTAAACTGTTTATGTTGCTTATGGTTTCATATTTTGCTTTTCAGAGGGCAGATGATTTCAGGTGAAGACTGTGAATTTATTCAAAGATTTGAACAGAAAAGAAATCTGGAAGAAAAACAGGAGTTGCTGCAAACAGAAGGCAATCAAGTAACTTTCTTTTCTTTTAATAATCTAATTTTTGTGGAGGAAGATGGAAGGAAATTTTTGTACAAACTCTTATTGTTGGTTTTATACAGTTAAGATGTTATGGAAGAAGTGTAAAACTTGCCATTATGATTTCTTTTTTTTCTAGATACAAGGTGCACATTCTCTTAAAAAACTATTAAATAATTATTAAATGTCATCTGACTTTGACTCTGTTGTGGGACAAGCTAGCTCAAGTCGTTCCTCATCCCAGTTTACTTAATCATGCACACTTGTACTTGAGTCACTTTTTTTTTTTGAACTTTCTACCTTATAGTTTATTAATGAGAGCTACTGCCAGTGAGATTTTTGCTTAGCTAGCTGAACAACTGTACTGTAGTTCGAGCAATAGAGCCCACTTGACTGCCAACGTGGATTCAGTTATTTAAACGCAGGTGTCATTTTAGGCACTGTAGGATATGAGCCATCTTCATTGTAGAGAGCTAATATAAGATTGATAGGTGACCCATGCCGTTTGGCTTATGGAGACTAGGCAAGATGCCCAAAGACATTTCAGTGATGTTTCGAGCAGTAGAATCTCAGCCTTGAAGCCTGGGGTTCTAGCAGACAATGTCAGACACCAAGAGGATGGGGTGAGGCAGGGGAGAGGAGTAGGAGATGCACTCAAGACACAAAACTTTCCAGCCTTTTTCTCTACTTTAATTTTAAGCTGTTATGGTTCCTTCCCCCTCTTCCCCCCCCAAATTGTATTGTGTGACTGCTATGTAATGGACCATAATTTGCATAATGACAAAAGCATATATGGTGAACGTTATATGCCACAATATAATTACAGTATAGCAGTTCAGAGTTCCATTTTTCTCTCAGTTTTAGTTGAAAGTGGTAAAGGGGAAGGGAGAAGTGTAAAAAGCAGTGTTGTGACTGTTCCAGCCTTTTATATCTGTTCCTGAAATTGTAGAGTTGAGTTGTTCAGAAGGCAGGAAACAGCTCAAACATGAACAAAAGTTGCCCATAAGGTATAGCAAATGAATGGGTAAGAGTGACCTGGCTTCTCTCCCTCTATTCAAGTCACTGAAACTTTCTTACGCTGTGTCTAAGTTTGTTGCTGTTTTGTCAGTTTACTTGGTTCTTCTCCTCACTGACATAAAAAAGACACTGATGGATATTTCTCTAATCAGTCTTTCAACAAAGCACCTTGCTGACTTTCATTAGTGAGTACGTGTTATTTCATTTGAAAGCCATGAAACAATGTGTAAAAGGTAATGATCAATGTGACAGAAAACTTTCTTTGTAATATAATGTCAAATGTATTAATCTCTTATTGCAATTGAGTAAGAAGCTGGGATGCTCAGTGCTTATGTAAGACTTAACTCTGAATTAATGAAGTCCTGTTTTGTATTATCAAAAGGAATGAAGATAATTGCTAATATTAATTTTAATGTCTCTTATTTTTCTAGTGTGCTAAAACATTTATAAACTTGATGACTCATATCTCCAAGGAACAGACGGTTCAGTACATTCTGACAATGGTTGATGATATGCTGCAAGTAGGTCAATAACCTGTCTTATTTTTAAGTCCTTAAATGCATGCTTGAATGTTTCCTTAGCTGAATTTAGGCTTCTTCAGGTGTATGTCATACTGTATTAAAAATAATATTTTAAAATTTCAGATCTTTTCTTCAGAAGTTAGATGTTAGGACTAAAGCTATACGGGTAACTTAGTCTTGTATATATGTGTTCATATTCTAGAAATAAAATGCACCTGTATGCCTGTCTGTTGGCTCTCAGCCGTATTTGATGCGAAACTTGGATGTTAAGGGATGATTTGCAGCCTCAGCCCTTTCCTGTTGTGTACATAGGATATGACTTCTAACTTGTTCAAGCTGTTGAAGCTTTTCCTACAAAGGTGTTAATTTGGCCACCCTTAGCAAGAAGGTGTAGTTTCTGCAGCTTCAGGTTTCCAACATAAGTTAGACTGTTTAGGACAACATGGTCTGAAATTCTCCATGGTTTACTTATAAAACAGGAACTTTTGATTCAATGAAATATGTAGCTCTTTGTAGCTACGGGATGCAGTGACTTCTAAGAGTAGGCCATTAAATTTGGTGTCGGGACTGCTGTGCTGACCTGGACAAGTCAAGAGGAGACTTTACTCAAATCAGATAGTCTTGCTTTTCCATTTTTTTTCTCTCTAGTAGACTAGGAGAAAGTGGTTGGAGTGATGATGTAACAAGATGGGTTGAGTTGTGCAAGGTTTCCTCCTGGTGTTCACGTAGTGTATCTGGCTGTTTGACAGTTTCTCTTCTGCTGTTTCATGTTATATTTAATACAAGGTTACAGTGAAATGTCTAGTGATAACTTCACGGTTTAGGGCATTGTCCTAAGAGGTGAACCATGTGAGTTCTAACTCCAGCTCTGAGTATTCAGTATTGTCACTGGGTAAGTTGAAAAGTGTGAACCTCTGCATATTACTTATAACACGGGGATTATGGTGTTCTTTCAGGTGCCTGCCTGCACATTAGAGCCCTGAGTGAGTGCACTGACTGCTAGAATAATAGCAGGTGGTGGTGGCAGCAGCAGTTTATTCATGCCCATATGCAGCTTTGTCACTGACCCTCTTCCTCTTTTCTTTAGATTTACTTTTTCTAAAGTGTGACACAAACATCACAAAGCAGAGAAGACAAAAGGGAGCCTTGGTGTCATTCTTTGATGAGGGCATTGAGTTGGGAGTACCTTGTTTTATGCGTGTGATGACAAACTTCGTCTTAGTGTGTGAGAGCTCTGTATATTATGGTTACTTTTGTGAGGAATGGGTCCTGCTTTCTGTGTGAGATGTGTCAGTGGCCACAGGAGTAATCTTTTCATTTGCCCTTGTCTGGAACTTTTTGTGAGTGTTAGTAGGTCTTGTTTTGATTATGTGCTTTGACTTTAGCACATAGGCTATAGCTACCATATGCGGTAGCCAATATAGTCTCCTGTGCTATGGAATTAATACCCCACAGGTAAAGGCTTTCACTGGCCCGCTCTCAAACAATTGCATTAGTTCTAGGTGGTCACAGAAAGTAGTTTAGAGTAATCTCTTATTTGCCATATTGGTTCTATCATATGTGTCTAGATTAATGTGTTTTCTTGACTTCACGGTCATGCACTGACACTTCTGTATTCAGGATCCCACCCTGCCACAGAAGTGGCATGTGTGGAACTCTTGATGTTAAACATAAAGCCTGGACAATTTAAAGTCAATATATATATATTATATATATATACAGGAGAACAGAGATGTTGGTGCAAAGTATACGTTTCCTTTTGTTTGAAACTAGATGCACTTTAGAAATTCTGTGTCAGTGTCTGAAAGGCTGTACTGGATTTTGCAATGCTCTGTGTGACTTCATTATTCAGTAATATCTTGCTGCTGGCAAAGAGGGCTTGTGCGCAGCGAGTGTCTGTATGGCATCATCCTAGCCTTCCTAACCCTCTATGCTTCCACTAGGCAAGGCTGAAACAGGACTTCTATTTTATTTTGGTTATGTTGAGATGGTAGAACATGTTGTCAGTGATGCCTTGTGGACCCTTGGTTGCACATTTTCAGGGTGTAAGATTCTTGTCAGAAAGCAGCATAGTGGTCATTGACTCTGGGACTGAGAGTTTAGTGCAGGGTGTCTGCAGACTGCACGGACAGAAGAGTCCACAACAGTGAATAGGCAGTCTCCTGTCTTTGCCCAAGTACTCTTAATTCAGTACATGCAAAGATTTTAAGTGAGAAATTGTTCAAGGACATGGCCTGCCATGTTGCCACTGGGTCTTTCAGTAAAATTGTTTTGAGCAAGGATGTTCACTGCAGTTTCATGAGATGAACAAATAGTATTTTGAAAGCTACCTTTGATAGCTGAAACTTCTAGAAACTGTTGTAGGTAACAGTATCCAGCTTTTGTCTGTGTTGATAATGACTGCCTGTGGTTTTTCTATTATCTCTCTATGCTTTTCTTGTGTGGTTGTAAAAATCATATGAACTGTGTTTTGAGCACACCAAAAGCCTACCTGGGTGTCTAGGATTGTTCCAGCAGTTCTGCTTATGGGTTTGATCATCCTTCTAAGAGACTTCTTTTGGAGGCTGTCAGAAGTGAAATTAATGTGGTGACTGCCATATAAGAATATCACCGTTCTGCTTATTTCTGAAGGTGGAGAGGGTTAGCATACTGGGGTCTCTGAGGAAGTGTTTCTTAGTCTATTTATATGGTAAGTACTTGGAACAATTTCCCTGGATTAGTGACCCTGTCACACTGCACCGTCTGTTACTTGTGAAATCTTTAAGAACCTGCACTGTAGTTGGTGCAGGTAGCAGTACCACCCAAGTGAGCTTCATTATGCTTCTTCAGAAATGACAGATGCTGTATTATTCAACTGTTGATGTGACAGCTTCAGGATTTCGATTTTTTTTTTTTTTTTTTTTTTTTTTTATTGCTGTAGTCAGTAGCTGCCTGGGAAGGTGCAGCACTACATATTTCAGGGCTGTAGGCAGTTCTCCAGTCCTTCCTGTCTTTACCCTGCACCTTAACAGCAAAACAGACTAGTCTTCTGATTGACAGCATGTTGAAGTTATTTCAGCTTTTCTGCTTCCAGACCTGTCTCCTCCTTAGTTATGTTGTAAACTGAACTCATTGATCTAGTTATTTTTGATCTTTTTAGACAGACTCTGTGTATCACAAGTGTAGATGCTAACTGACTTATTTGGTTGAACTGCCATTTTTTATCAAACTCACCCTCGCAGAGCAGATGCTCTCTGCCAAGGCACTGTGTTCCTGAGATCTTGCCTTTACTTTTTATTTTATTTCATAGTTTGAACAACAAATTTTGGGAGGGTTTTTGAGTGCTTTTTGACACATGCTATGTAGAATGTTAATCACAGTAAGGGTTATGACTGTCAGGATAACTAGTGACACTTGACCTTCCCCAGGCAGTGATCGGGACAGCAATTTGCAGCTGGTGGCACGCAGTAACTTTGATACTTTCAGTGAAGGGTTGGTCGCAACTCTGATGCTTAGTAAATTACCAGTGTTTGGATCACGGATACATTCAGGTCATCTTGTGCTTAAAGTATCATATTCCAACAAGCAGGCTTGCCTAGCTGATTCTTGGGACATTGTGTTAATAATAGGTTGCTGAATTGATGGAGGAAAAACCTTCAGCTAGGGGAGTTTGAAAGTTAAATTTGTTGGGCAGTGGAGACTGAGATACTGTTCTCCTGCGAGTTTCCTAATTACAGTGTTTCAAACCGTTTTACCTTCCTTAATAGGACTTGTATACTTTGTTGTAGTGGCTTGACTTCAATGGTGAGACGTCTCTTTAGAATGAAAGCTTACTAACCATCAGGCTAGAAAGTATATGGAAATGCTGGGAAAAAGCAAGAATCCAGGTATTTGATTTTCTGGAATACTGTCTATATTCTAGGCTGTTAGGAAATAGCAGAGCTCCTCTTTCTCCTTCAGGTTTCGTGGCCTCTTCTCTGGTCTGCTTTAAGGAGAACCATAATAGCTGCTTTTCATGGGGGTTATTAGGTGAAATGCTTGAAGAAACTGCATGCTGCCCAGGTTTCAGGTACCCGTGGTCTCTTGTGGTTCAGCCTAGAAGCCTTGGAGAACACGCTTCTGGTGACTGTGTCCTCTCCTAGGTATGCAGGTTGCCTGAGAGAAGAGCTGAACCAGCTGCAGCCTCATCTGGGAGAGAAGAGCTTGCTTCCCCTCGAGAGGAATGGGGAGGCAGGACGTATGGCTCCGAAGTTTCACTTGTAGCCTACACAGCCAAATTGAACAACAGGCTTTTGTGTGGAAGCAACAATACATGGAAAACTTTGCATGGATTTTATTCAAGGATAATTGATTGGATGAAGAATAGTGTTCCTCTGGAAAATGACAGTATTTAACTAGTCCCTCAGTTCTCTCGTTTTGCTTGCTTGATCAAAAGGATACATCCATTTTTACTCAAGCAGGTGTTGGAGTACTGAGATATAACTAGGGTTTCAAAGTTTGTTGTCCGTCCATACCATCCTGTTTACCCCCCCCCAAATCTCTAACCTTAATGTTGGAGTGCTGAAATGAACTGTATCCACAAGTAACTGTCAAACTGCAAAATTTCCATGTTACAAGCCAGGATACACTCTGATAATGTATGCCAACATAATGACGAGCAAATAACTGCTTTATGTTGAATGCCTTCACAAGTCTCTCATCTTTTCCCCTCTCCCGATTTTTACAGGAAAATCATCAGCGTGTTTGTATCTTCTTTGATTATGCAAAACGTGGTAAAAACACTGCATGGTCCTATTTTCTGCCCATGTTGAATAGACAAGATCTTTTCACAGTGCATATGGTAAGTTTTAAATGAACTTGTCTCTGAAGGTGGTAGAGAATAATATTGGGTTTATTTTTCTTTAGGAGACTTTGGAGTTTTAAGCTGAACTACCTTCTGGATTGGAAAGTTTTCCTCTTGCAGTCTAGAAGAGTCGTTTTTAATAGAAGTTTCGCTTGGCCACATTTTAGAAAGAAAAGTTACATTGTTTACCCACGTTGTTTTTTCTGGGAGGTTAGAGGTTTTAAAGGCTCAGAAAAGCAAGGATTTTAGAATTAATTAAGCACAGTAAGATGTAACTAGAAAAATAACTTTTGTCACAACTGCCAGTCAATGCTCCTCATGCTGTACAAATATTAGAATTTAAGTTCTCATCCTGTGAAAAGAAAATATCTCTACCTTAATGAACCTTATTCTCTCGTATGCTCAAATTACTGTAATGCTGCTTGAAATCTGCTTAAAATGGTTTGTAAGCATACTGGGGAAGAAATAACGTCTGCTGTTGTTGACCATGGGTGACAGGGAAGCTCCCATCCAGTTGCTTGCACAGTCCCCAACAGCGGGACTGGGGAGAGAATCTGGAAGGCAGAAGAGAGAATTGTGGGTCAAGATAAAGACAGTTTAGTAAGTGAAGGGGGGAAAAAAGGAGTGTGTTTGTGTAACCCAAAACAAATCCAACAAAAAGAAGTGATGCGAAAGGTATCATGCAGCAGACTGGTGCTGAGCCAGAATACCTCTTTGGTCAGTTGCCCTGGCTGTGTCCCCTCCCAGCCTCTTGCCTGCCCACCCCGCCCCCCAGCCACCCCCCAGCCTACTCACTGGAAGGGCAGAGTGAGAAACAGAGAAGTCCTTGATGTTGTGCAAGCACTGCTCTGGAACAGCTAAAACACTGGTATGTTACCAATGCTCTTTGGTCACCAGTCTAAACCACAGGATCATAGAACTGCTATGAAAAAATTTAAGTCCAGCCAAGCCCAGTACAACCACGTGCATTGTATGGTATATGCTGTGCTTTGAGCTGGTGCTGCTGGTGTTTATGGAGTAACTTTTCTGGAATTCTTCTGTGATTTGTGGTAAGAACTGGCAATTTCATCTCAGCAGTTTTTTTCCTTGTGGGGGGAAAAGTACAGTTGTATTACTGTAAATTCCTAATGGAGACCATTGTTTCCACCAATAAAACTTGTATTATGCCTTGAAGAGGGAGAAAACTGCATGGGTATGAATTGTTGTTCTTTGCACATGTTTATGCTGGCATACTATGGTAGAATCAAATCAGTGACTCAAACTACAAAACCATATACCTGGCCTATGTTATGCTGTGGTAGCAGTACTGGTGCAAGGAATTCCAGGCAAGTCATGATGTTTGCCCTTAGGTGTGGCCAGTGCAACTGTGTTTGGGGCTGTACTGTGACTTGAATAGTGAGCTGGTCTGTTTTCAAGAAAAATGTCAGGTTTCATTTTTTAAATTTTTTTTAATTTTTTTTTTTTTAATCTGACTGATGCATCCCAGAGTCCTGAGGGAATTGGCCGATGTAGTCGCCAAGCCCCTCTCCATGATATTTGAAAAGTCATGACAGTCAGGTGAAGTCCCTGGTGATTGGAAAAAGGGAAACACTGTGCCCCTTTTCAAAAAGGGTAGAAAGGAAGACCCTGGGAACTACCGACCTGTCAGCCTCACCTCTGTGCCTGGGAAGATCATGGAACAGATCCTCTTAGAAGCTATGCTAAGGCACATGGAGGCCAGGGAGGTAATTCGAGATAGCCAGCATGGCTTCACCAAGGGCAAGTCCTGCCTGACGAACCTAGTGGCTTTCTATGATGGAGTGACAGCATCAGTGGACAAGGGAGAACCAACAGACGTCATCTATCTGGACTTCTGCAAAGCCTTTGACACGGTCCCCCACAACATCCTTCTCTCTAAATTGGAGAGCTATGGATTTGATGGGTGGACTGTTCGGTGGATAAGGAACTGGCTGGATGGTTGTGTCCAGAGGGTAGTGGTCAATGGCTTGATGTCCGGATGGAGACCGGTGACGAGTGGTGTCCCTCAGGGGTCCGTACTGGGACCGGTGCTCTTTAACATCTTCATCAATGACTTAGACAGCGAGATTGAGTGCACCCTCAGCAAGTTTGCAGATGACACCAAACTGAGTGGTACGGTTGACACACCAGAAGGATGGGATGTCATCCAGAGAGACCTGGACAAGCTGGAGAGGTGGG